GGTCCAGTACGGGGGCAACACTGAGGGTTGCGATCCGTTGCCGGACACGACAAAAGACCAAAAAAAAAAAAAAATAGATTGATAGGCCGGCCCGTGGCTCACTCGGTAGAGTGCGGCGCTGATAACACCAAGGCCCCGGGTTCGGATCCTATATAGGGATGGCCGGTTCGCTCACTGGCTGAGCGTGGTGCTGACAACACCAAGCCAAGGGTTGAGATCCCCTTACCGGTCATCTTTAAAAAAAAAAAAAAAAATAGATTGATAACATCATCACCAGGAATCTTGTGGTTCATGAAGTAGGGGTCTTGTGACGTTAGCACTCAGAGGACTGACACCAGCAGCTGTAGTAATTCATTCACTCCCTGGAACTTGTGTTTTCTTCATATTTTCGCTAAGGCTAATGATGGAGTTGGGATGTGTTGTCCCCTCCAAAACTCATGTGGAAATTTGATCTCCAATGTGGCAGTGTTGGAAACTGATTGAGTCATGGGGGCGGATCCCTCATGAATGGATTAATGCTCTCCCTGGGGGGGGGGGATTAATGAGTGAGTTTTCGCTCTATTAGTTCCCGTGAGAGCTCGTTGCTTAAAAAGACCCTGGCACCTTCTCTCTCTCTCTTGCTTCCTCTCACCATGTGATCTGATTGTACCTGCCAGCTCCCTGCCACTTTCTGGAACCGGTCTGTATGTGGGATCCGAACCCTCGGACGGGAGCGCCGCCGCGCTTCCCAAGCGGCGCACTATCCAGTGCGCCACTGGGCCGGCCCTAAACCTCTGTTCTTTATAAACTACCCAGTCTCAGGTATTTCTGTCATAGCAACACAAAACGGACTAAAACAGCTAAGGTGTCACTGGTCAGTGAGACAAGGAATGAAGTTGAGCAGGAGTCAACGTGGCAGGTGAGCCACAAAATGGTGTTGGTTTTGTTTACCCTCTAACACTAAACAAGGCTAATGACTTTGTTTGGTTTATTTCTGGATCATGGGTTTTAGTACAGTGCTTTATGAAGAGGTGGACCAATTCATTTTTCCTTCAAATTGAAACATCTTGAGAAACAAAAGAAAAATATATTAAAAATTATGGTCGTAAAAGAATGAATGGGATGACTAGTATCCCTTCCTATACATATCTGCTGGAGAAAGACAGAAAGGTAAATTGAGTTTGCATTTTGTGGAAGTCAGCAGAAAAAAAGTTTGGATTGCAATAACATTTTTCCTTAAAAACATGTTTATTTACAGTGGATGTTTTTGTGTGAAGAACTGAAAATGTCTGGGCCGGCCCGGTGGCGCACTGGATAGTGCGCCGCTTGGGAAGCGTGGCGGCGCTCCCGCCCGAGGGTTCGGATCCCACATACAGACCGGTTCCCGCTCACTGGCTGAGTGAGGCGCGGGTGCAACACCTGTCTGGGCCGGCCCGGTGGCGCACTGGATAGTGCGCCGCTTGGGAAGCGCGGCGGCGCTCCCGTCCGAGGGTTCGGATCCCACATACAGACCGGTTCCCGCTCACTGGCTGAGTGAGGCGCGGGTGCAACACCTGTCTGGGCCGGCCCGGTGGCGCACTGGATAGTGCGCCGCTTGGGAAGCGCGGCGGCGCTCCCGTCCGAGGGTTCGGATCCCACATACAGACCGGTTCCCGCTCACTGGCTGAGTGAGGCGCGGGTGCAACACCTGTCTGGGCCGGCCCGGTGGCGCACTGGATAGTGCGCCGCTTGGGAAGCGCGGCGGCGCTCCCGTCCGAGGGTTCGGATCCCACATACAGACCGGTTCCCGCTCACTGGCTGAGCGAGGCACGGGAGCAACACCGAGGGTTGCGATCCCGTTGCCGGTCCCCGGTCCGGTATGAGGGCAACACTGAGGGTTGGGATCCGTTGCCGGACACAGAAAAAAGACAAAAAGATAAAAAAAAAAAAAAAAAAAAAAAAAAAAAGAACTGAAAATGTCTACAAAGCCCACAGTGAGTGGACAGGGATGGACATTCTCAAACCAAACAAGGCTCCCAACGCCTCAGAAAGGGCCAGCATACCCTGGCTACGTGGCTACACGCACACACACGTTTACTAATCCAATAAGGTTTCCCACAGATCGTTCTTCAATTTTCCCAAGTATTTTTCAAATGCACTGGGGTTGTACTTCTGTTTGGTCTCAGGGGAGAAAGGGAGAAGCAACCTATTTATCAGCACCGCACTCTCCCGAGTGAGCCACGGGCCGTCCCTGAAGCAACCTATTTAGAAAACGTGGAAGAAATCAATCCAGAGCCTCTGTCAAGATATCTGGTGCATTTCCCCTGCTTCTCTTCTCTTAAGAGTTTATTACATATGAAAAATATTCCCCATGAGATTCATTTTGAAAATCAGTTTATTTATATAATGTAAAAAATTTAAGGCACATTTTAAAAATATGCATTTCAGTGAATGAATGAATTAGGTATAACAGAAAGTGCAGTCCTTACAGGATCAGAGTGATTCAGGGAACAGTTTCCATCGGATGGATACAGATGGAATTAAGCTGATTCTGATTGCACTAGCTGCTACTCATTGAGTGGTGCTCAGCCTTGCCCCTCTCGCAAGCCCCTCCTGTATTTAATTCCAAGAATAATAAATCATATCTGTCCTTGCCAGCAAATCCCCTGGCTCCACCCCTTCTAACAACACCTGGAGGATTTCCCCAGGAGCTCACTCTGCCAGAGCATGTTCCACCTGCCTCAGGCCACAAGAACCTCCGCAGCTCAAGCTCTCAAGCTCTCTTTGTGACAAGCTTTGGGGCTGACAACTTTCCCTCAGGGGAAGTGAGGAACCAGAGAGCCCACGGTAGATATTTGCAGGGGATGGACAAAGACTGGCATTTGCTGATACAGGGAAGTCACAGGACTTATACCATGAAAGGTTACCGACGTCCAAGAAGCCCCAGCAATTCCAGCACAAACTCAAAAGACCACTGTGCTGAAGAGAGCAGATGTGTTGGGGTGTGCATGCTTGGGATACCTGCAGGATGACTTGGCTGTGGGCTGTTTTTGTTGATGTGTATTGAAGAGTGCCTAAGGGGAGAGGAGACACCCTGGCCTGCCGTGAGGTTGGTTGTTTTATATCTGGGGCAACAGAAAAGGCATGAGACCAATAGTAATCATCAGGTTGTGGGGATGTTTCTACCACCAGACAGCTGACCTAGCTCAGGTTTGCTTCCACTCTCAATCCATTTAATATGCTCTACATGGTAGGGTTTGTCATGTTTTGAAAAACAAAAAATTGTGGGATGTGATCTAATGATTTCATAATAGCCCCTCCAGAAAGGAAATGATTCCATTTCTCCTGTTTTACTTCTCCCCTTAAAAACCTATTCATAGGGGCCAGCCCGTGGCTCACTCGGGAGAGTGTGGTGCTGATAACACCAAGGCCACGGGTTCGGATCCCATATAGGGATGGCCGGTTCGCTCACTGGCTGAGCGTGGTGCTGACAACACCAAGTCAAGGGTTCAGATCCCCTTACCGGTCATCTTTAAAAAAAAAAAAAAAACAAACCTATTCATATATTACCTGTGCACACAGGTATCAAATTTCTGGCACCTCAACACCTTTTTCAAAAATCCTCAAACACAAGGTGACATCCCTCTTTCTCAAGTGAATGAGTCCCTGAAACAGCAAATTGTTTCAAGGGGCACCACCTTCATTCCCACCCTATTCCCAACCTCCAGAAACTTTCTGTAGAGGAGTTAGGATGGGGACAGGTGAGTGTCAGGACAGATCGGGAGGATCTTCTGTGTGGACTGGATTCCAAGTGCCTGGGACCTTCAGCCCAAGGTGAAAATGTGGGTGGGGTGAGAATGTGAAATGAGGCGGACACTGGGTGGCTGTGTGTGAGATCTCACTGGGTCCGTCTCTGTCTTTCAGTTTCACCAGCACACAATCAAATCCCCCAAAACACTGGAAAATGGAGCAGTCTCCTGAGACAGGTAAGGCATTTTTTTCTTCATTTTCCTTATTCCCTGCTAGGGAACGAGTGTCCCATCAAATCTTGAAAGAAGCAGGTGCTTTCTCCAGAATGTCTGGGGCTGCATCCTCCATCCCTGTGGGCATGTTCCTGCAGCTGGTCTGTGCTGAGCTTGGACTCTCTCCAGGTCAAAACCTCAACACCCACAGGAATCCTGCATGACAAGGGCCTTCACCCTCACACTCTGCTCTCTCAACAGGTGCAGATCCAGACGCAGCGAGCCCCTGCCTCTGATTTATGGCTGTCCCTGAACATAGCCCAGGTACGATCCCATGCTTCTGGAGAGGTAGGACAGGACCCAAGAGACATCCAGGAAATGATGTTCTGAATGGGGTTTAGTCTGATTGCAATTTCTGGGTGGCCACACGTAGTTTCCATTTGGGTTCTGTGAAGTTGCTGGTAGCTCCCTCCCCTGGGTAACCCTTGTTTGAGCCTCCCTTGCAGGACAATGACTCATGGCTTTTCTTTTTCAGGGCCAGCAGTTTCCCAGCATGCAGATGATCGTGTGGTCTCGGAACCAGGAACAGAACTCCAGCTGTGCCTGGGAGCTGAGGTCCTTGTCCTGGCCCCACAGAGAGCCCTGCAGCTCACACTCATTAGCATAGTCATCATGGTCATTCCTGATCATGCCTTGAGGTCATGAAAGGGTCTATGTTTCCCTGCCCAGGCCCAGTGGCTCCGGCTCACAGGTACTGATATCACCTGGGAGATCGATATTGAAGATGGCTCTGTTACATCTCACAGAGCAGAGAATGTGTGTGTTCCCCATTCGGAGGAGGAGGCTGAGGCTCCCCAAGGTCCCCAGCCCCTGATGGGACCCCAAGCAAAACATATTCCTGGGATCGAGTGTTCTACCCTGAGCACCCTCTTCCTCAAACCTCACTACAGAGCCACTGGCTCCCAGGGGTCCTTCCAGCTGCCCAAGCTTAGTCCTGAAAGATTGGAACTGCCGGTGGAACTCAAGTTAGACCTCCACGGCCTGGGGCCCTTGCTCAGCTCTGCCCACAGACCTCTGCCTCCCTCACCCAGTCCAGGGCCCAGAGTCTGCCACAAAGGCCCACGCAGGCCAGCTAGCAAGGCCCAAAGATGTCTGTTCCAACAGTGATGGACCCTGCGCCCGGACCCCCAAACAAGGATCTGAGATGCACCATTCAGAGTTCGTGGACTCCCCCTTCTGGTGTCTCCCTTGAGCAGACCTGGACACACATGCTACTGACAGAAAGGAACACAATCTACGGTGTCACGAGAAAACATTTGCAGACCTCATATCTCATAAAGGACTCAGGCCCTGAAGAGAAACAGGATTCTCAAAACCCCAGTGGAAAAGAAAACAAACCATCCAGTTAGGAACCAGGCAAAAGATGGGAACACACACTTCCCAAAGGGGATCTAAGAAAGCACTTGAAAGCTGTTCCATATCACTCCCGCAGAGAAATGCACATGAAACCCACCGAAAACACCACAACACAGGCATTTGAATGGCCACAATGAAAATTACTGACCTTCCCCAAGGGCTGCAGAAAATTAGGACCAGCTGTGGGAATGCAAATGGTACGACCACTGGGGAAAACAGCCTGGTGGTTTCATGACAATGAAACATGCACTGACCAATTAACTCAGCTTTCCCACTCTATCGAATTTGGTTTAGAGAAATGAGAATTTGTATTGACAAAAACGCTGAAGGTAAAGGTTTAAAACAGCTATATTCACAATCACCCAAACCTGGAAGGGACCCAACTGTGCTTCAGCAATGAGTGGATGTACAAACTACGACCGTCCCTACGGTCTGATGCTTCTGAGTAGTAAATGGGATGGAATTTTTTGTATTGGATTCAGTAGGAACTAATGAAAATTCAATTGTAAAAACAGACTTGATTCATTTCCTGAAACATTTTAAGGTATTTTTGGACAATTTGTGTGAAACTTATCTTGGGACTGTAAACCTTATGAAATCTACATACATATCAGGTACTTCTGATCACATTTAACTTTCCAGTTAAGATGTTCTGTAACAGTGAAATTCACACAGGATTTTTAATTCGAATGAAGAAATAGAACACATCTTATTTATCATTGCGATGTAGGTTATATTTGTAATGATTTTAATGGGATTTCTGCTTAAATAAAAATGTTTAAAAAAATAAGTTTCATCTTTCATC